ATGAGCTGTACCAGCTATTCTCGGACATCGGCATTGTTAGACGTATTGAGCTGCAACGACTACCCCAGCCCCAGCCCAAAAGGGCTGATAAAAGCAAACCAGCTGATGGTTCACACAGAAGGGGAAGGCCACGAATACGATAGAAAGATCAAGTCGAAGACACATTGCCGAAAATGGTCTTTCAAATTGGAAAAACAGATGCGGAAGACAGATGCGCCTGGAAATCTTTTCTAAGCTCGGTTTATGGAATGAAAGTCCCATCACAAGCCAGCTAAGTAAGAATATTATATTGATAACAAAAGTTACTAAATAGAAGAGTACAGTTGTGCACAAAATGTTTAGTTCAAAAGTAAATTCTAATGAAGACGGTAACCATGACACTATGTTCGTAAACAAGTTTCCGTTAGCAGAGAGGCCACGTGATCGGCGCGACAGCAGAGGTTCAAAGTCGGGAAGGCGGCTGGAAGCATCCTGGAATTCGTGTAGAAAAGGGAGAGCCAAACCGGGCTCGAGATCAGTCGGTGTCGAGCGGTCAAACGAGCAGAACATAGGAGACATCACCAGCGGAGGAATACAGAAAGTATCGGTGAGTGTATAATAGTGATTGTTAATTATCCGAGATTAAACAAGTCGAAATAAAGAGCCGTCGTGGGTCTTTATATGATAAAAATGATTTTAAGGAAAAACTCGAAATAAAGAGACGTCTTGTGTGGGGCGGGGGGTTGTTTATATGACAAAAAGTGATTTTAAGGAAAAACTCGAAATAAAGAGCCGTCGTGGGCCTGGAAATAACTAATAGTGATTTTAAATGAAACCGGAATAAAGAGCCCTTCATACATAGGTGTTGAAACCTTGGACAGCGCCAGGACTTATAGCGGAAACAGCGGCAAAGACCGGAACCGAATCTGCATCGCCAGAACCAGCAAACCCGAGTCCCTGTAAAACCAACAGCCATGCCGGAGGAGTGGCAGCAGACGTTGGAGACTTTAATAATTTAAGTATATGAGATCTGTTTATAAATTTAAGAGTAAATGAAGCGAAGTATTCTGAATTTGAAAGCTAAAACTAAATTTTTTCACTCTCGGTCACTTAATTATAAATTTTCTGTGACGAACCCTACCCCCGCGAGCATATCCCAGCAACCGGAGCAAAACTTGTCGTTATAAGACATGTCAGGCATTCAATAGAGAGAGAGAGAGTTCCGAAGAAACAAAAGAGAGCCTCCTGATCAATAGGCCTGCCAAACAGAATTAAAACGTATTAACACACATGCAGAGGAAGCGATTGAAGAATATTGGGTAAATACAATCGTTGATCAAAAAATCATTTTGACTGATGAACAAGGGCACGTAAATGATAAGTCCACGTCCAGTGACGATTCAAGACCTCAAGGCTTGAATTTGCTTGACTTTGTATACAACAAACATCCCTAGTGGTTGACTTTCCTGAGGATCAGAAAACTCATAATTTCAACTAATTTTTTTATCTTAATCAACAATTATATCCACTCTCGCATTTCCAAATTTATACATAAGGTTCAGGACAGGCCGGATATTAATCTATTTAATCTATTTTTTAATTGATCCATTTTCTTCACTTTCAAATCAACAGTAATATTGTGACAAAAGTGTTATAACAATTTTCACCATAAAATATTTTTCTTAAATTAATTTTTTTATATAAATACGACGATATTTACAATTTTATTTGATCTTGTTTTTTTTTGACATTCGAGGTTACACATAAATTCATAAATAAAATACATAAAATAACAAAATTGCAATAAACTACAACAAAACATTTTGAAATGGATAAATAGTTTTTTTTTAGTTCCTCAGAAATAATTTTCGCTACATTCAACAAATTGTGTTCATAAACAAATTTATCTTTGGAATGTTAAGGACTTAAAATTAGTGATTTTTTAAATTTTTTATAATACTGTGTTTTTTCTTATATGCGATATAATGTCAACAAAGATTGTTTTGTTGTTTTATTTAAAATTCTTTCTTATATTTTAAAAATAATTATTTTTGTTTTATATAAATTTATATTTAAATATATTTTGTTACAAAATAAGTTTTCCATTAAAAAATAGAACATCACACACATAGAGACAGACAGACATGAAGTTAGATAAAAACCCCAGCTAGTATCATGTCTGAAATTAAAATTGGAATATTGAAATTAAATTATCGCAATATGCAACTACGATATACAAAAGACAAACAAACAATGTAATAAAGCTTTTCTGAAAATGAATTATACTACAATTACAGATATACACGTAATACTAAGGATACAATTTACAATACATATACACGATATACAAACATATATAATATAATATTAGCACCTAATTATAAGTTAACATTACAATGGGTCTCGGTCATCTTAGCTTGGATGATGTAAAAAAATGCGTAGTTTTATTTCGTTCGTTTTCTTTTTTACTTTCCTGTAAGATGGTGGGTATGATGATTGTTTGAATGTTTGTCACTGCCATGGTGGGTTTGGTGTTTATCAGCATAATGTTGTTGGTGTTGCTGCTGATGTTGGTGATATTTATCACTTTGGTTATTATTGTGAGATTTATTGGAGGTGTTACTAATGCCACCACTGCTGCTGTTGCCAATACCACCACTACCGCCACCACTGCTATTACCAGTCGCCGTGGAATGTTGTTGATTTGAGTGTAGAGTTGTTGTTGTAGGTGTGTGTATTTTCAGTTGTTTAATTTCGGGAAAGAATTCCATCATAAGGATTTCCAAAAGTTCCTGGAACAAATATTAAAAACACAAAAATTAATATTAAAAAAATATTTATTATTAACTATATTATTTTTTTAAATTCCCAGCCTTGGAAATATAGTTTTTATTTGCTATAAACCGTATAAAAGCGAAGTTCTTCTACATCAGTCTCATTTGCGACCATGCTCAGACCGAAGATAAAGATGAACAGACCAAAGACATATTTAACGAGCGCCTATAAACAACATATGACCGTTGCCCTGGCCATGACATTAAAATTCTGCTAGGATATTTTTATGTATAAATCGGAAGGGAAAATATCTTTGGCTCCACCGTCGAAATATTTAGTCTCCATGAAGAAACATCAGACAACGGCATAAGGTTTATTGACTACGCGACAGCAAAAAACATGGTAGTTAGCAGCACCAGATTCAAGCATCTCTATATACAAGGCCACCTGGATTTCTCCTGATCAACAACGAGAAATCAAAACTATAAATCCGCATTCGACAGCTCTATCCGTTCAGAGGTGTTTAAAGCCATGATTGCGTTTGGCATTCCTGCAAAATTTATTCGGCTATGCAAGATAACTTTGACTGGCACAAGATCAGAAGTTAGGACCTATCGGAGTCCTTTAATACCGAACGAGGATTCAGGCAAGGTTACAGTTTGTCGTGTGATCTTTTTAACATCCGGCTGGATGCATACGAGAAGCAAAGGTGAGCTGAAATGGCACTCTGTACACCAAACCACACATGATACTCGTCTACGCCGATGACATCGATGTAATGGGTCGAACATTGATAGCGGCAACAGCCACCTTTGAATTGAGAAGGAGTTTGCCAAAGTAGGTCTGACAGAAAACGGCGAGAAGACCAAGCTGATTGTATCAACGGGCAAGACGTCCAGTAGACTCGGACCAACTGTGGAACTTGAGAACTGCAGCATCGAGGTAGTCAAAGATTTTATATACCAACCGATGCTACTATGGTCTGAGCAAACAACTCAAAAGCAAGGTCACCTACCGCCAGACCAAAATCACACTCTGCAAGATGCTAATACTACCCGTGCTGTTATATGGATCTGAAGCATGGGTACTTACACAAGCAGATGACACAGCTCCTGGAGTGTTTGAGAGAAAAATACTCCGAAAGATCTATGGGCCGATCTGCGTTGACGGTGAATATCGCCGTCGAATGAACCATGAGTTGTACCAGCTATTCTCGGAAATCGGCATGGTTCACGCAGAAGGGGAGGCCAAGAATGCAATTGAAAAACATTTATTTTTAAAGAATCTACGCCTTGAAAAATATTTATTTTTTAAAAATCTACTCCTTGAAAAATATATATTTTAAAAATCTACGCCATGAAAAATATATATTTTTTAAAAATCTACGCCTTGAAAAATATATATTTTAAAAATCTACGCCTTGAAAAATATATATTTTAAAAAATCTACGCCTTGAAAAATATTTATTTTTAAAAAATCTACGCCTTGAATTTTTTTTTAATCTACGCCTTGAAAAATATATATTTAAAAAAATCTACGCCTTGAAAAATATTTTTTTTAAAAATTCTACGCCTTGAAAAATATTTTTTTAAAAAATCTACGCCTTGAAAAATATTTTTTTAAAAAATCTACGCCTTGAAAAATATTTTTTTTTAAAAATCTACGCCTTGAAAAATATTTTTTTTAAAAATCTACGCCTTGAAAAATATTTTTTTTTTAATCTACGCCTTGAAAAATATTTTTTTAAAAAATCTACGCCTTGAAAAAAAATTAAAAAAATATTTTTTTAAAAAAGCTACGCCTTGAAAAAAAATTAAACAAATATTTTTTTAAAAAATCTACGCCTTGAAAAAAATTTTTTTAAAAAATCTACGCCTTGAAATTTTTTTTTTTTAAATCTACGCCTTGAAAAATATTTTTTTTTAAAAAATCTACGCCTTGAAAATATTTCGTTAAAAAATCTAGGCCTAAAATTTTTTTTTTTTAAAATCTACGCCTTGAAAAATTTTTTTAAAAAATTTACTCCTTGAAATTTTTTTTTTAAAAATCTACGTCTTGAAAAAATATTTTTTTTAAAAAATCTACGCCTTGAAAAAATATTTTTTTTAAAAAATCTACGCCTTGAAAAAATATTTTTTTTAAATCTACGCCTAGAAAAAATAATTTATTAAAAAATCTACGCCTTGAAAAAATATTTTTTTAAAAAATCTACGCCTTGAAAAAATATTTTTAAAAAATCTACGTCTTGAAAATTTTTTTTTTTAAATCTACGCCTTGAAAAAATATTTTTAAAAAATCTACGTCTTGAAAAATATATTTTTTAAAAAATCTACGCCTTGAAAAATATATTTTTTAAAAAATCTACTCCTTGAAAAAAATATATTTTTTTTTTTAAAAAATATTCATGCCTTGAAAAATCTACACCTTAAAAAAATATATATATATTTTTTTTAATCTACGCCTTGAAAAATATTTTTTTTTAAATCTACGCCTTGAAAAATATATTTTTTAAAAAATCTACGCCTTGAAAAATATATTTTTTAAAAAATCTACGCCTTGAAAAATATATTTTTTAAAAATATCTACGCCTAGAAAAATATATTTTTTTGAAAATCTAGGCCTTGAAAATTTTTTTTTTTAAATCTACGCCTTGAAATAATATATTTTTAAAAAATCTACGACTTGAAAAAATATTTTTTAAAAATTTACGCCTTGAAAAATTATTTTTTTTTAAAAAATCTATTCCGAGCCTCAAAAAATGCTTTAATAATTCTACTCCTAATTCCTCACATCTCGTTCTACTTACATAAAACAATTGTTTATTATAGACAGGATTCTGCAGGGCATCGAACACTTTCAAAACACCACGTTTAGCAGCTTGGGCTCCGACTAAATTACACAAGACCTCGGGTATGTTATCCATAAGTAAGGCTTTAGCTGCATTTGTTGTCATCTCTTTCATGTCATCCGAACGAACGGGATATGCCGATGCTAATACGCCACCGGGCCAAAATGATTTCAATATCGCTGAGAAATAATAGTGCAGCATTGATTCCTCAAATAAATATGATACCGATTCACGAATTTGTCTGAAATAAAAATATGGAAAATTGAAGGTGGCAATTAAACAAAAAAAAAAAATAAAATAAAATCATAGCTCACCTATTAATAGTTCTACCATAGGTAATTTGTACAAACGATATAAGACTTTTACGCAACCACTTGAAAACACCACCCATATCGAATATCTCACCCATTAGGGCATACAAAGGTTCCGCTATTGAATCTTTACTATCCAAATCGGCTAGTAATTTATTATCACCGGCCGGCACACCCTCCAAATAGGTAGATATGTCTTCATCATCTCGCTGTAAACCCCAAAATGGATCTGTTGATAGTGATTTCAATGAGGCGTCGGAACTTTTAACTGTCTCAGTTTTAAATAATGTCGACAGAGAAAATTTCGATTTCTTTGGTGAGGGTAACGATTGTTTTAAATGATCAGAACTTGGACTGAGGAAGGTATAAATTGCTTCACTGCCATTTAAGTGGTCATCTTCTAAAATCATCTGAAAAATAAACAAAAAACAACAACAATTAATATTGAAATTTTAAATTCGAATTAGTTGTATGACCATTACTTACATTAATAAACCGTTGTATTTGTTGTTTGGCCTTTTCCAGGGCATGTTTATCGTTTTTCAAAAAGAAAAACTTAAAATTTGTTGGTAAATCAAATGATTTGAGATTGGCACTGACATGTCGCAGCTTTCTTTGCAGTTCCTAAAATAAAAAAACAAGAAAAAGAAGCAGGAACAACAACAACAACAATTAGAACTTAATTTTGCAATACTTTGCCAATTTGTATGTGTGTGTGTGTGTGTGTGATAGCCGATTGGGTTCAAGTTGCTTTGTTACTCGCAGTCGGCAAACATGCCTCGGTTTTTATATTTTTTAATTTAATAAATATTATAATTTTTTTATAAACATTATTTTATTTTTTTATGTCATTATTATGTCTTTGTGCATATGTTTGTAACCGGCAAAAGAATATGGAATATGGCTTATGGAACGAAAGTTCTGTCACAAGCCAGCTTAAGAATGAATGAGTGAAAACATATTCTTTTAAAATTCCACGCCTTGAATAAATATTTTTCAAAAATGTCACGCAAAGAAAAAATATTCCACAAAATGCACGCCCATAAAAAAAAACAAAGTTCAAAAATTCCCCTTTTTGTCTACTTACATGAACTTGATTTAGTGATCTCATTACCACCCAGCCACTTGATATGCTGCCGGGACGGGCCTCAACTTTACCCGTAGCTGATTGTTTCAATGCACTGGGAGTATTTATGTCCTCATCGACATGAACTAAAATCATAAATTGCAGGGATTCTTTTTCATCGGATATCTGGAACAATACAACAAAGCATAAATTCGAAAATAATATGAAAATGCAAATTTCAGTTCTCAGTACTCACCTCCACACTTTGCAGTGTAGCCTTCCAACGACCCAAATGTTCCGTCCATGCATCGGTACGCCGCAAATGTGCCTCTGTCTGCCGTTTAATATTTTTCAACCATTCCATTTCTTTTTCCAAAATTTGAAGAACTTTGGAATCAGGTTTCACTGAGTATTTTAATGCATCTAGGGCTTGATTTTTCTTATCTATTCTCTCCTGAATTTGTTCGAGCTTTTTGCGAGCATATGAGGTATGAGCCGCCACATCTATGGTACCGGAATTATTTGTCTCCAGGCCATCGAGGCTGGTTGATGCCTCCTCATGATTATCACTAAGGGCACCAACTATTAAGGTGGGATCTTTATAGTCCTCCGAATCTAAAGCTTCTTTCAGCAGACGATATTGATCGCTCAACACAAAGGGAGGATAGTATTTCTCTTCGAGGGTTTTTAGCACTTGTTTTTGTAAATCATAAAATATTTCCGGGCCTGAATCGCCCAGTAGAAATGTTTCAATTAATTTCCGTTCATGTTTATCAAATTGTAGCTCGGATTTTGGCACCCTGATATACGTATAGAAGATTTCCGTACCCAGCTGATGGGCGGCATTTTTCGGTGCATGTTTCATTTCCTCTACAGCCATATAGAAGCCAACCAAAGCACTTGCCTTCAGGGGTTCCAGGAAAATGGTAAAATATCTCCTACCAATTGCCGTATTCAATATCTCCACCAGTGACAGATCCAAATCACTTGAATAGTTGCCATTCCAACCGAATTTCTCCAAATTCTTTTCACACATATTCTTGGCATAGGTCAGCTGTTGTACATAACGTTTCAAACGCACCGCTGCCGATATTTCCGATTTCGATAGATTATGATCCGGGTCGTTATCGGGATCAATACCTTTGGCACGTTGGAGATTTTGTACTGTTGTTGCATGCATCAAATCGTTGACAATACTTTTACGTATCAGTGACAACTCTTCCAGGTTGCCGCAGTTGTTGATAATTTTCAGGAAATCTTCAAAACTTGCTGCATATTCATATGATCGCTTGCTAATCGCAGCTGCCGCTAAACGTCCTTCAATGTTTTGTACAATTTTCTGATTGATATAATCCGGTGAGGTTAACATTTTAATCATGGGAAAGAATACTAGGGGGAAAATCGAAAATATTATTGAGTATTTGAAGAGATTTTGGATATGGAAAATATTTACTTTTGTACGAGAGTATTTCACTTAGCAGCACCTTTAGTGGTGGTAGGGAATAGCCACGCGGTAGCAGAAGTATAACCATAATTTCACATAATTTTCTCAAGAATTCCAATTCTTTTTCTTCGGTGACCAAATAGGAATTTGTCGAAAATACAGGGGCCACATTCATTTCGGCTCTGCAAGTAGATAATAGAAAGATTAACAGAAAAATAAGCCAGTCAAATGGATATTTCGAAGAACACTGAGGACAATTTTTTCCATAGAGATAGAAAGTAATCCTCAGGGCCATGAGCAATCCTCATGATGCTGAGGATTTTTTTCTATAGAAAAAAGTAATCCTCAGGTTCCTGAGGATTTTTTGGTTTGGATTACTTTTTTCTATAGAAAAAAATTAATCAAGATCACGAGAAAATGCCCTCAGTGCTCTAAAATTCTCCGAGGTTTCTGAAGATTATGCAAACCTATCTATCAGTTCTATTACTTACGCTCTTGCCTCTGATATTCGTATCTTTTCCAAATGCACCGTAACCCTATTCACCATATCAACGGCTATTATTTTGGGTGCATCCATCTTCTTGGCACGTTCATGCATTTTTTGTATGGCATTCCAGAGATCTTCACGTACGATGTCATTCATTAATTTCGGTTTTGTTACCACATACCTGTGAAAAAAAAATCGAAAAATGGATTTAATTGAACACTAAAGAAAGAAAATCCAACAATTTTCCAACTTACCCCAGCCATGGTGTCATAAAATCTCTAAGAACATATTCGATAATTTGTTGTATTTGTAAATCCACAGTTTTACCAAAGATCAGTGGTAAATTCGAGGCATTCTTAATGGGTTTGGGTAAGTCGAAGAGACTATTTCTGAAAGTATATGAGAAAAATTATGATTTTAATAAATTAGTAAAAAAAATACAAACAATTAAATCGTTTTTTGAAAAATTCAATATCCATAAATTTTAGTATTTAATTGTGCTGTGGAAAAAAAAAACACCAACAACAAGCCTATCACTTCATAATTAATTACATACAAACATAATGAGATGACATGTTTGACATCAAATCACACGCAAGCGATATATTTTTTTCATTCATTCAGAAATTTAATAATGGGTATAGGATATTCATTTCACTATTTACATGAAAGTGTTATTTATATATAGATTTTATATTGTGGTTATGTCATTTATTAAGGAATGACGTTGTTGAGAACATTTCTCAAAAAAAATGTGAAAGTGATTAATTAGCCGTGAATGAAAAAATTGTATTCATTCCTTTAATTTAAATAATCCTTGGGATGGACTATTTACGAAACCACAAGGAAGTTAACAATTAGAAAAAAAGTAATCCTCAGTGGGGTTGGGGATTTTTCACTATAAAAAACGAAATGCTCAGGAATCTGAGGAATTTTGGTCATTAATGCTTATTTTTAGTTTAATTAATTATGTATAGTAACAAAGCCAAATAGACCTTTAAAATAGTTCCATAATTTTGACATGCCTAAAAATTTTCTGAAGACCTCAAAAATGTACAAACATAAATTCAGGTTAATTATTGGTGACCTCTTCAAATTTCACTTTCTGAGTCGATTTATGTCTGTCGGTCCATGTTAAATTATAAACAAAGTACAGGTCACATTTATGATCCGATTTGGATGAAATTTGGCACAGCTCATCTATTTCGCCCAAGGACGAACTCTATTGGGAAAAATCGGTTCAGATTTAGATATAGCTCCCATATAAAATTTCGTTCGATTTAAGGGGACCCCCCCCCATTCTCGGTGTCAAAATTTTTTTTGATTTAATTCGAATCTACTCTAATTCTAGAATGTTCCTACATTTATTGTGCAGCATCAAGTGACGGCTAAAGGACTTCTCAAACTTTAAACGCGTTTTTCTCAAAACGAATGGCGGGCACGATAACTCAAAAACTAATAATCCAATCGGTTTCAAATTTTGACACGTTTCTCTGGGAGTGTGTAGCTCTCGTATGAACTAGGATAAAGCCAATTTCTGAAGATCTTCCTTATTTTTTAACTTAGTTTGTGGTAAAAAATAGGCGATTTTCCATAAAAAAAATTTTCAAAGTTCCGCCATTTTGTTAATTGTTGTGCGAAGTCAATAATCCTAGTTCATACGAGAGCCAGACATGTCCTCTTTCTAACACAGTTGGAATTTTCGGATTCCGATGTTCCAGTGAGGAGTTATCATGCCCGCCATCGAAAATATGGACTTTTCTTTGAACCCCAAAAACAACAACAACAAATTTTGGAAAATTATTTTTCTTCCTTTTTAAATCTTCAAATATATATGTGCCAAGTTACAAACCTTATCAAGCATTGGTATTCATTTACCAGCCCATTTAAAATCTTAAAAATAAAAAATCGAGAATGGGGGGGGGGGGGGGGGGGGTTCCCTTAAGGTAAATGGTGCACCAAAGTACCTATATATTTTTCGATTTCCCCGAAATTTGGCATAACGCACTAAATTGAATCTAGAACGACGTGTGTAAAATTTCGTGAAAATCGGTTCCGATTTTGATATAGCTCCCACATATATTTTCGTCCGATTTAATGTAAATGGTGCACCAAAGTCTCTATATATCTTTCGATTTGCACCAAATTTGGTATAGCATACTGAATTAAGTCTAGAATGATGTTTATTAAGTTTCGTGGAAATCGGTTCAGATTTAGATATAGCTCCCATATATATTTTCGTCCGATTTTTGGTAAATAGTGCACCAAAGTCCCTTTATATCCTTCGATTTGCACAACATTTGGCATAGGGTACTAAATTTAGTCTAGAATGATGTGTGTTAAATTTCGTCAAAATCGTTTCCGATTTTGATATAGTTCCCATATATATTTTCGTCCGATTTTTGGTAAATAGTACACCAAAGACCCTTTACATCCTTCGATTTGCTCGAAATTTCGCATAGCGTACTGACATAAGTCTAAAATGATGTGTGTTAAGTTTCGTTAAAAACGGTTCAGATTTAGATATAGCTTTCATATATATTTTGGTCCGATTTTATGTAAATGATGCCCCAAAGTCCTTATATATCTATCAACTTGCACGATATTTGACATAGCGTACTGAATTGAGTCTGGAATGACGAATAGTTAGTTTCGGGAAAATCGGTTCAGATTTAGATAAATCTCCCTATATATTTTCGTCCTATTTTATGTAAATGGTGCACCAAAGTCCCTATATATCCTTCAATTTGCACGAAATTTGTCATAGCGTACTAAATTACATCTAGAATGATGTGTGCTAAGTTTCGTGAAAATCGGTTCAGATTTAGATATAGCTTCCATATATATTTTCGGTCGATTTAAGGTAAATGGTATACCAAAGTTCCTATATATTGTTCGATTTGCACGAAATTTAGTATATCGTACTAAAATACGTCTAGAATGATGTGTGAGGTTTCGGGAAAATCGGTTCAGATTTCGATATAGCTCCCATGTATATATTTCGGCCGATTTTATTTAAATTGTGCACCAACGTCCCTTTACGACTCCACATCTGTACAAATGAAACATTTAGTATGGGTTGCAGAATGGTATGGTAAAGATCATATATTTTAGTTCATCCTTCAAAAATGCGACGTCTGTAGGATGGATCTGTTGAATATACCAAAATTGGTGAAGGTTTGATTCTCCTTACTGGTTTGATTCTTCATTTAGATTCATTCAGTAAAATGTCCATCACTTTGAATGGCCTAATCGAATATGGTTTCTTAATAGCTTGAAATAGAACATATTCCATTTACAGAATAGTTCTATGAGAGGTATTCAATTTGGAGCATATCCTTGAAGGACTTTTCTGTACACAAAAAGTCTTTACTAACTCTTCCTTATTGATATAAAAATATTTTAGTATTTCATTCGGACGATTTTAATGTGACGATCTGCGACTTTTCCTAAGATCTTTATAAAATTAACTATAAAATTAGTTCAATGTTAAATTTTTAGTAGACCTCTAGAAAGAAGTCACCCGCATTTTGGGTACTTAATGATACCCAGAACTATTTACTATCATAAAAATATCGCCATTATTTTATATGGGGGCAAATTTGAATATCGATACCATCAGACTTGCCTATGAAACTTCTGGAGACCCTGATAAAAATTACAAATAAAAAAATTAATTTCTATATCAAAAACCATATATTCAATCGGGCATACTTACTGGGTGGCATTGTAGAGAACATTTAAGGGTTCACGATTGGGTTTTGGCGGCTCTTTGGTTGTAAATAAGTAATGGATGTAAACGGTGCCGGCCACAGCTGTAATGAAAATAACAACAACAAAGATAATGTAATAAGTTTAATATTAAAAATGAAATAAAATAAAATAACAACATACAAAAAAAGTGATAAGAAATGGGTCACATTGATTATGCCAGCCAGAGACTGCTGGTAGATTTTGTGTGTTCGATGATGGGCGAATGAAAATTCCCAATTTGTATTTGCTGATAAGAATTTAATTTAAATTTGTGAACGGAAAACTCATCACAAAGATTCAACAAAATTTATATCAATGATTTTTTAATAAAAAAAATAATATTCTTAGAATTTCAAGAAAAAATTATGACATTGGATACCGAATTGAATTAGATAAGCCTTAAAACAATATCAGTGGTTTAGTTTTAATAAAAAAAATATTTTAATGAAATTAAATATCTATTGTGTAGACACAATAGCAATGAATCAGTCATTGAGGCGACACCAGGCATAATCCACATGTCAACAACAACTGCAAAATTAGCAGCAACTAAAAAGGGCGTCATTTAATTTTTCGTAAACAAAGAGGAAGGAAATTTGTAAAATAATAAAATGAGACCCTACACCATAGCCCATAGGTTTTCAGTAGAAAAGACACAAACCAAGTTATAGACAGAAAGGCCGTGGCCCATAAATAGGTCCAGTAAATTTATGGAAATTTTTTTATAGAACATCAAGGATCCCCAAATTTTTTATAGAAAGGGTTTCGCAAAATTTTCTAAAGATATCCCAGGGCCCATAAATATAGCCGAGTTGTTGTTATTGTAGCAGTTTATATGAATTATATTTTTTTCTGTTTAAATTCCATCTGGTTCTGTCTCCATATTTAGAAATGTAGCTAGCTCCACCGGCTTTAACCACAGACCTTTTGGAGTAAGATGAGTAGATTTGGTTGGGCAATTGAATAAGCGCAGTGTGGTATGAGGGCCCGTACCACATGCTGGACAGACATCCTGCACCTGGTCATCAATCCGTGCCCAATACGAATTGAGACGACTGCACCATCCTGAACGTAATTGGTTTGTCTGGGCAGCTGACAGCTGCTAGGGGTGGGGGGGGGGGTGAGCTCCGACGGCATTCAATCTGCACCCTGTCCGCGTTCTGACAGGTCTGAATACTTCTCCATTGCGTATCACTAGAGTTCGCAGACCACACTGGAACGGCATAGCTTGCCACAGACCGACATATCGCTTTGTAAGAAGTCAACAAGGTTTCCTTATCTGCGACAAAGTACTGCCGGCAAGCAAGGACCTTGTTCCTACTTTTCAACTTATCGGAGATAGATGTGGTTTGCGCGGACGTAAACTGTGGTGGCATCTCCTCGGCTGGAAGAAATCTTATACGACGAAGTACTCTTCACCATGTCGCTCTCGGGATGGTCGACAAACTGTCTGTTAAAATATCTTGCGCATCTCTTCGGATCAGTCACAGTTTCGTCGTTAAATGTGACTGAGGTCCTATATGTATAGAGCCCAGTAGTAGATGGTCCTGCAAACATTTACTATAGAAAATCCGTAGGCCCATAAAGGGATCTGCAAAATTGTTTATAGAAAATCCAGGATAAGAAAACAATTTTTTTAAAAACGGCTCAACAATTTCTTTTTATAGAAAATCCGTAGGCCCATATATGGTTCCACAAAAAAAATTCCGTAGAAAATTCGTGTCCCAACTTTTTTGTGCCAATACTTCATAGATGGGTCCGCAAAAAAAATCTATAGGTCCATCAAAAAAATACGCCCTAGATGGTCCAACAAAAAATTTCTATTGAAAATCTAGGGCCCATAAATTGATCCGCAATTTTTTATTCAAAATTCATGACCCCAGTAAATTTTCCATGGCCCCATGATGAGTGCCCAAAAATTTGCTATAGAAAATCCGGAATCCGAAAACAATTTTTTATAGAAACGATTCCGCAAAATTTTCTATAGAAAAACAGTGCGTCCATAGATGGCCCCACAAAAAAATTCGATAGAAAATTCGTGTCACAACTCTTTTTCGAAAAAAGTCAATAGTCAATTCTATATGTCCAACAAAAAATAGATGGTCCAATAAAATATTTTTATAGAAAATCCCGGGCCAATAAATGGATCCGTATTTTTTTATAGAAAATCCAATACCCATAATCGGTTCCGCAAAACTTTTCTGTAGAAATTCCAGGACCCATAAATTATATAGGCAATCCATAGGTCCCTAGATGGTCCAAATTTTTTTCTATAGAAAATCAAGGGACCAAACATGGATCCACAAAGTGTTTTAAAATAAAATACAGGGCAAATAAACGTTTCCGCAAAAATTTTCTGTAGAAAATACAGGGTCCGCATGGAGGCCGGTAAAAATTAAAAATTTCATATCGAACCAGCAAAACTTTCCAAACCTGGGAGTGTTTAGTTTGGTATTTCGTTTTCTCCCGGCAGCAATTTATCATGGCATAGCCCCCCATAAAAAGGTAGTCTGAATGTGCAATTTATGATGGAGGATATTTAAAGTTCGACCCAGACGAACGAGGTTTTCAATTGCTTATTTGTTCTTCTTCTTTAAAAATTCTAAAATCTATAAATAAACAAATGATGTAGATATGGTGCCGCAAAAATTTTCTATAGAAAATGTCTGTTTTTTCGAAAAATGTTTCCGAAAAAAATCTATAGGTAATCCATAGGTCCTAGATGGTCCAACAAAAAGTTTCTACGGAAAATCCAGGGCCCAAACATGGATCCGCAAAATATTTTAATATAAAATCCAGGGCACATTTCCGCAAAATTTTTTTTCTGTAGAAAATGAGGACCGGTCAAAATTAAAAATTTCATATTGAACCAGCGTCCCAACCACCGCCAACCCCCGAAATGAAATCCTGTGTACGTTGTTGCTTCACGGAACATTTTCGATATAATTCCATAAGTCATGCACGATTTTCGCTAAAGCAAAACTTTCCAAACCTGGGAGTGTTTAGTTTGGTATTTCGTTTTCTCCTGGATGCAATTTACAATGGCATAGATCCCCATAAAAAGGGTCCCGATCGAATTTAGATATTTTGAATCTTCAATTCATGATTTTCGCTAAAGCAAAACTTTCCAAACCTGGGAGTGTTTAGTTTGGTATTTCGTTTTCTCCTGGATGCAATTTACAATGGCATAGATCCCCATAAAAAGGGTCCGGATCGAATTTAGATATTTTGAATCTTCAATTCATGATGAAGGGTATTACAAATTCGACCCATACGAACGAGGGTTTCTCTTGCTTATTTGTTTTTCTTCTTCTTCTTGAAAAATTCTAAAATCTATAAACAAACAAATGATGTAGGCTGATATGTTTACATGATTACATGACTAAATGCTGCTACTTCTAAATACTTACCGGCAACAACCAATAGCAACGAATACAACACAAACAGAATGAAGAGAAAGAAAATTGGATAATACCAAATGATGGCCAGCAGTGTCACTGCCAAGGCAGACAACAAAATTTTCCAATTCAGTTGTATAACGCGCAATACTGAGGACCACAGTAATAACTTTCCCTTTGATGAGGATGTGGAGGTGGATGCGGTGGCATTATGCCTTTCGTTGCTTCCCGTTGGTGAATCCAGGAGGAACAACGGTCGACGATTTGGAAAACTGTGTAAATCATCTATTGTGGGTATATCTTTGGGATTAGCTTTAGTTTTCATTCTGTCCCGAACTTTGTACTCTATGGTTTCCGTTGTTGTTGTAAGTTTCCTAAAAGGCCGATGCGAATGGTGATTTTTGTTATTGTTGTTGTTTTTTACAGACTATTTAAAATGTTAATCACATTTTATTTTTATATCCAATGTCCACACACACAACATTCTATACACTTGATTTTTTTCTAGTCAATGGGTTTTTGATGGCATTGTGGGTTGGGGGTGGGAATCGAAGCAATTTTTATTCAATAATAATAGGTGTTGTTGTTATTGTTACAAAATCAATATTGGTCTCCTTAAAGACGAGGTAACACCGTTTTATTTTTCCGTCTCACATTATTTAGTAGAACTAACGCATACAGCAGCAGTCCCAAACTAATTTGCAATTTTTTTCTTTTTCTTCCGCAATGATTTTTGCCGTTTTCTTTTTGTCCTTTGCGGAGGCGGGGCAACAAGTTGTTATATAAAACGCACAGGATCAAAATTAACTGGACTGATTATTCCTTTGTAAAATACCACTTGGACATTCTTACGTCAAGGATTACAACAATTTTGTTGTTGTTTTGTTTTTCTTTTATATACAAATGATGAAAAACACACACACAAATTCATATGCTGTTGTTGTTATTCTATTGTACACTTGTTCTTCCTCTTGTGGGAATTTGCACAGGCTGTCTGTCTGCCTGCCAGCCAGCCGCACACAACACTTTCACTTGATGTCGAACCGCAATTTGATGATTATTTCCGTTTATTAAGGGCGCGTCCGCATCCGCCACATGCGGCTGATTGGAATGTTTTGAACTTTAGTTTTTTTTTGTATAAATTATGTTTGGATTTATTATTATATATCTAATGTGTGTGGGAAATGTTTACACTTGCTCTGCTGCGTAATTTTTTTGTTTGTTTCTCGCACCGCCGATGGCTTCATTCAAACAATCACGACTGACTGACAGATTGTCCCTCTCTCAGTAATAAAAAACCGTTTTTACTTGCTCAAAATGAGATAGAGTTGTGTCATTCGCCAATGAGACTAGTTCAAAAGTGAGATATTCACTTCAATAACTGTAAGGAATTTCATGCAATTGGCCCTATATTGTTATTGTCTTTAAGTTTAAGATTTTAGTAATACTATCGTAAATTCCGACCGGGACAATCTATTGATACCCACAACCATGGAGTGGACATTCGAAATACCAAAAATTAAACGCATGGTACAGTAATTCAATATAGGACAACTTGAGGCGAATAGCAAAAAGCATCCTTTACGGGTAGTGGATTCTTCGGTCAAATATAAAGACATATGGCCTGTTCCCGTACTGCAAGAATCTACTAGATTTTACAATTTTCTTCGATATCATAAAGCAAAATTCATTATCGTAGTAAAAAGTAGTAGATTCTACTATTTTTTTCGATATCATAAAGGAAAATTTGTTATCGTAGAAAAAAGTAGTAGATTCTTGCAGTACGGGAACAGGCCAATAGTTGACATTTTTCAACACATAACAAAAACGCAACCTGAGTTCGTCTTCGGACGGCTCACAAGAAGGACGACATTAAAAATTATAATACGACCCTGGGCATAAAATATAAAGTTTTGCAACGTGTTTATCAAATTAGACAAAATTCTTCGTATACGAATAACCTATCAAGTCACCAAGTATCAACTTATTGAAGTTGAAATCGATTTTTTTAAAGATATTCAGACTTTGTCTACGCATGATATATGGTCCTATACCTTCTATACTAAATAGAAAGTGGACTAGTTGGAGGGGGAGTAAAGACGAAAAAACGCAACCTATGGCGGAACATACCGAAAACGACGCGTGACGGTTGGAAACATACCCAAAGTCTTTAAACTACGGAAAATTGCGTGCCACACCATTACGTGGATCGAAATTAATCGTATTTGGTAGGTTACAAAATGCCTACCATACCTTAAAAGGCTATGGTATATAAAGGCTGGTGGTATATAAAAGGGTACCCGGTATATAAAAGGGTGGACCAACATTGATACTTTTTGGTGGGAAGTTTCGTGTCATATTGAATTAACAAATGTTCAAAATGTTGACACTTTGTGGGGAAGGTACTAGAAGAAGTGGACCAATGAATCCCACATTCGGGCTTGAACTAATCAAGGTAAAGCATTATTATATTCAAATTTTGGATCAAATCGGTCATTGCATTTGCTTAATATTTGATTAAATTATTAAGATTTGGATCATTTGTAGTGAAGCTATTAGAAGGAGGGAACCGATGTGTCCCCATCTATCGATAAGTGGATCGATATTCATCTTCGAACTTCATCTAAGTTTGAAAGAAATATTAAAATGTTCAAAGATCCCTTCGAGAGTTACGCACCAGCCGGTCAGTCTATTTATCGGATAGCCAAGTTCTACTGACTTGTCACGTGAGAACCTTGGTCTTGATCCCGATAGCTATGATGTTTACCCACGAAAAAATTGGAATCTAAAGGCATTGGATTCAAACTCTGTTAGGTCATACCTAGAAGGGAACGGATGGGGATTACTTTTTCAGCCAAGATAACGAAGAATCCGAAATGCCTCGCATAATGAGACGGGTACTATATATGGAGGCTATATCTAAACATAGATCCATCAATATACGTAAAATGACGAGTGACATTTGTACGGGTTCCGTGTCCACACATGGATCTATATCGAACATGTGTTGCCAAGATATATACCAAAAACCCTGAATTCGATGTTATGAGCACTTTGAAAACCCGGTTTGGTACTTCAATACTTCGGCATTTATATAAGGGCAATGTTAAAGCATGACCCTATCTTGGCACTTTTCTCCGAAAAAAATTCAGATTCACAATAATTACCTTCAGAAAATACAAATAGTACAATAAAAATACCTTTTAAAAATACGGATAACCTTTTCGAAGACCCGAAAATAGTTCGGCGTTTTCGTCCACTTTGTCTACAAACAATTTCTTTATTTCATCTATATAATAGCTCTTCCCTTTGTCTATGAAGACTTCTTATGAAGACACAACTATAAGAGAGTTTATTAAGCTCATCTCTAGATACTCCCTACAACTCGTCCCTGGAGACTCCCTATAACTCGTCTTTTAAAGACTCCTTTCGTTTCCTATCATTTTTCGTCTGTTTCAGATCGTTTTCCTTCAAACTCCTATTAGTTCGACACAGTGCTTCATTACGTATACGAAAGCCTCTCCCACTTCAGCTCTTTCATGAAAAATACTTTGTTTCAGCTTCGGAAAACTCCTTCCTTCAACTCGTCTATGAAAGACTCAGTTCATTCAGCTCTATTAAAGTCCCCTTCATCAACCTTCCTTGAAAGAGTTCCTGTTTTAAGCTGGTGTATTAAAGACTCCCTGACATAAGCTCGTCTATGAAGATTCCCTAACATCAGTTCTTCTACGAAGTCTACCTCACATCGGCTCTTCTAAGAAAGACTACCTGACTTCAGCTCGTCTATAGAATACTCCCTGGTGTCAGCTTGTTTATGAAAGACTTTTTTCAGTTCCTCTATGAAAGTCTTGTCCCTTCAGCTCTTAAATCTCTTCCATATAAGACGCCCTCGTTAGCTTCAACTTGTCTATGAAATACTCCCTGCCATCAATTCGTCTATAAACGACTTTCTGTTTCAGCGCGTCTATGATAGACTCCAGCTTCAATTCGTCTATCTAAATTCTCTACTTCAGCTTCTCTGTGAAATACTCTCACCCTTCACCCTACCCTCAACTTCTCTCTCTTTTTTTAGGATCATCCAAGGTATATTTAATAAGGTAGCCGCATCGGCCCAGCTGTTGGACAAATAAATGTCAAAAATGTTGTTGTAATGTTGAACCAAAAAATTAAAAAACAAAATTATGAATGAAAATCTCCGAATTTCGAAGAGCTTTTTTGGCAATACTTTTATTAACATTTTCTACAAGAATTTGTGTAAAAAAAATCTTGTCAATCTGTTTGTTTTGGCAAAATATTTTTGACATATCAAAATACAACAACCTATGTTTGTTGTAGAAATTCGCCGATGCGGCTACCTTGTATATCTACCTTGGGATCATCCCTATTTTGTTAAGTGTATTTAATTGATAGCATTGCCAACATTTAACAACACTCAGCATGCCGTTGACAAACGACATCAGCTGTCGACTTCTAGAAACCTTTCTACCTGCTGTTTCCATTTTCGACTTATAGAGCCCTTTATTATTACTCCTTGTATTGTTTTGATTCCTGAAATTTATTTGCATTTTACTCTTTATACAGCGTTTCTATTCGCGTGTGTGTGTTTGCCGTGGAAATGTTCCATGGACGGTATTAGATTTGAAATATTAGATTTGAAAGGAATTAAAATTAATTAAAAAAATCGAATCAATCAACAGAATCGGATTTGTCACAAAAGAAATGGATGATAAGAAATCGAAAAAGCCAGACGATTGGATAAAAGTCCAAAGTAAAAGTCGTCCGGGACGATATTATTTATTTAATCGAGCTACAGGTGAAACCAAATGGTTGCTCTCAGAAGCCAAGAACAAAGAGTCGTCGAATGGGGAGGTTACAGATAAGGACAAGTCACCTTCCAAAGGAAAAACTCACATTGAGGAAGAGTCTCCCCCACCAAGAATATCGGGTAAGTGTTGATAAACATTCCAAAGAAGTATATTTTACACATACTCATTATTTCAGCCCCCAAACCCTTGAAAACTCCTGCCCAAGATCGCCTTAAAAGACTGCAACATGAGATAAAAGTGCAGCAATCAAAGAAACAGGAAGCGAGGAGCAGTAAACGACGTGCCTCGGGCGACAGTGAAGCAAAATCCACAAAGACTTCAGTTTCAAAATACCAACAGGAGAATCGGCCTCTAAGTAAGGAAACAAAAGATGATCCTCCTTCTTCGAGTAGAAGTAAATTGGCTAAATTAGCAGAGTCCAAGAAAGAAAAACAGGAGAAATCGTTACAAAATGAAGGTCCCAAGGATGTAAATAATTCTCCTAAAAAGAAGACATCAAAAACTATTTCCAAAGAATCGGAAAATCGCACAAAGGAGATTGATACAAAGACAGAGCCCAGAAAAAGTAAAGAATCCACTTTGGAATCCCCAAGAAAACGTGCCAGCAAAAGATCCCTACCCAGTGATGCAGAAACTTCTGCTAGCCTTGAAGATAATAAATCCGAATTGGATAAAATGGTTACAACAACTAAAGAAAAATCTATAAATTCTGCCAAAGAACCTCTTAGTCCAAGAAAACGGGCCATTAAAAGACCGCTTTCAAATGATTTGGAATCTTTAGAAAGCCGCAAAGATAATACATTTAGTTTGGATATTTTTGCTACTCCGTCAGCTGCCAAAACGTCACGCCCCATAGACATCCCTAAAAAAGAGGTGGTAACATCATTACCCGCCAATAATAATTATTTATTGGATGAGGACACCGAAATGTTACCTTGTGAAGAGGTCACCACTCAATCATCACCTGCAATTACAAATAGCGAATCAGACCCCAATAAGTTATCAACTTTTGGTAGTATTCGTTCGGGTATTGTTAGCAAAATTAAAGAGATATGTAAACTACCATTTGGTAGTCACAAAACGGAAGATATTGCTACAAAAACTTCGAATTTGTTAACTAAGACGAATTTTAAACCCGCCAAAAAGACTGAAAATAAATTTGAACACAATTCGTTTCCTGTTCAGCAAGCTTTAAGCGAGCTAAGGGAAGCTCAAAGGACATTGGGTGCAGATACATCACATAATACCAGTTCCACATCATCCACGTCATTATTGAATTTCGCCACACCACCAAGTACACCGAAAAATCTGAATATTCCAGCGTATTGTAAGGGATCGGGTAAGTGATAAGGTTCTTATTTAACAATGTAATCTTCTCGTCACACAGGCTAACCACCCTTCTTCAGCTCGCCTTTGAAGGAATTCCTTATTAAAAAAATATTTATTTTAATCTTCGCCTCTCGTCTCTGAAAGATTGCATTCTTCAGCTCGTCTTCGAAAGACACTCTTCTTCAGCTCGTCTTCGAAAGACATCCTTCTTCACCGCCTTTGAAGGAATTCCTTCTTTAAAAAATATTTTTTTAAAACGCCTCAAAAAATATTTTTTTAAAAAATCCACACTTTAAAAAATATTTTATAAAAAATCCACGCCTTTTAAAACTACTTTATAAAAAATCCACGCCTGAAAAAATATTTTTTTAAAAAATCCACGCCTTTTAAAACTACTTTATAAAAAATCCACGCCTGAAAAAATATTTTTTAAAAAATCCACACTTCAAAAAATATTTTTTTAAAAAATCCACGCCTCAAAACATATTTTTTTAAAAATCCACGCCTGAAAAAATATTTTTTTTAAAAATCCACGCCTCAAAAAATATTTTTTAAAAAATCCACGCCAAAAAAAAAATTTAAAAAACACGCCTCAATTTTTTTTAAAAAAACCAAGCCTCAACAAAATTTTTTAAAAAACTACGCCTCAAAAAATATTTTTTTTTAAAAACCACGCTTCAATTTTTTTAACCCACACCTCAGGGTAGCCTTTTCAGTTCTGATCGTCTATAAATAGGCCCTTCAATTCATCTATAATTTGTCCTTCTTTTAGCCAATTCCCGTTTGGAACGCCTAAGACAATCTCTGTTGGCACAGCAGCAATCCATGCAGGCAAATACCTCGACTTGCTTCTCATCACTGCCCACCACCAACAGTCCAGGACCACCAAAGACATTAGATTCTCCATTAAATGAGACATCAACTTCCATATTTCATACTGCCAATAATACCATGGATGATGGTAAGTCTTGCAATATTTTGAAAAACAAATCCCTTTGAAAACAAATCCCTTCCGAATTTCAGAAACTGAAGAAATGGATTGGGAACCATTTGTAAAAGAAGATATGGATACCATAGTGATATCAAGCAGCGAATCAAATTTATCATTAGTACCAGCAAAAGAATCGTCCAAAAAATCGCTACCCGAAACAATGGGCGATATTTATGATGCGGTAAATGAAAATCTTTTACGTTTGTCGGCGGAAAGGAAATCCACGTCAATGGGTAATAATAACAACAAATGGAGAAAAGATTACTATTATTTTGTGGTGGATACAAATGTTCTGCTGGATCATCTAAGCTTTATTGAAGATTTAACTAAATTGAAATTGTGTGGTGAGTTTGAAAATCACCATTTTTTTAAGAATTATTTTTTTTTTAAATAATAATCACTTGCAGATACCCAAGGCAGTATGCTCTACATACCCTATGGCGTTTTACAGGAATTGGATAAACTAAAAATTCGTTCCGGCTGCAAGGAGGGTGTTAAAACTTTAGCTGTGCGTGCCATTAAATATCTGAATAAGAAATTGGAAAATAAATCACAAAATATATTGGGTATTGGTCAAATGCAATTTAAATCGATAAAAACAAAAAATTAAAATTCAGTTTCTATTTTTTTTTTCACAGCCCAAACTGCCTTAGAGGAACGTCATCATCTAATCGATGTCAATTCGGCCGATGACAGTATCATTAATTGTTGTCTACAAGCCAAGGCTCAAGTGCCCAATCTCCTACTGCTCACCGAAGATGTAAATTTACGCAATAAAGCCATATGCAATAATATTTTAGTTGCCACAAAATCGGATTTGTTGTCAAAACCTAGTAAAGCACAATCTTGACCCCCCTTGAATTGGTTGCAAAAATTTCGTAATTCTTTTGTTATGAAGAATTTCAAATTCCGTTAATTAATAATTAATTTTATTATTCGTATACATATAGATGATCTTGTATATATATATATATATATATTTTTAGTATTTACTTGATGTAAATAATTTTTATTAATTTTTTTCTCGTGGAAAAAAATTCTTTACAACTTTCGTTTGTTAAAGAATCTGAAGAAAATAGGATGTAGAAATTTTCTAAACTAAATGAAATGGATTTGGATTTATTTGTTTGTACTGAAAGTAAATATTTAAAAATTTACTTGCGAAATGAAATAAATAATGGATATTTATTGTTAAAAAATTTTTGGTTTTTAAAAGTTTTTTTTTTTAATAGAGAGCTGTGTGGAGCCTAAAGACGAGCTAAAGGAAAGGGAGTCGCTCACAGAGAAGCTGAAGAAGGGCGCCTTTTTAAGAAAAAGTGAATGCACAAAGTATTTCTTAGACGAGCTGAATACAGGGAATCTTTCGTAGGCGAACTGAAGGAAGGAAATTTTTAAAGACATTTTTTCAAGGCGTGGATTTTTTTAAATATACTTTTTTAAGGCGTGCAATTTTTAAAATAAAAATTTTTTGAGTCGTGTAATTTTTTAATTAATTTTTTAAGGTGTTGAATTTAAAAAAAAAATTTAAGCCTTGAAATTTTTTAATAAAATTTTTTAAGGTGTGGAATTTTAAAAATAAAATATGGCGTTGTGGATGATTACAAAATTTTTTTAAGGTGTGTGATTTACATTTTTTTAACGCGAAATAACAATAATAAAGTTCTTTTAAGCCTTGGCATTTTTAAATATTTTTTAGGGCATGGAATTTTTTAATAAATTTTTTTAAAGCGTGGAATTTTGTAATAAAAATTTTTTAAGGCGTGGAATTTTTATAATCAATTTTTTCAAGGCGTGGAATTTTTATAATCAATTTTTTTAAAGCGTGGAATTTTTATAACCAATTTTTTCAAGGCGTGGAATTTTTATAATCAATTTTTTCAAGGCGTGGAATTTTTATAATCAATTTTTCAAGGCGTGGAATTTTTATAATCAATTTTTTCAAGGCGTGGAATTTATATAATCAATTTTTTCAAGGCGTGGAATTGGAAAAATTCGTTCCGGCTGCAAGGAGGGTGTTAAAACTTTAGCTGTGCGTGCCATTAAATATCTGAATAAGAAATTGGAAAATAAATCACAAAATATATTGGGTATTGGTCAAATGCAATTTAAATCGATAAAAACAAAAAATTAAAATTCAGTTTCTATTTTTTTTTTCACAGCCCAAACTGCCTTAGAGCCGATGACAGTATCATTAATTGTTGTCTACAAGCCAAGGCTCAAGTGCCCAATCTCCTACTGCTCACCGAAGATGTAAATTTACGCAATAAAGCCATATGCAATAATATTTTAGTTGCCACAAAATCGGATTTGTTGTCAAAACCTAGTAAATCACAATCTTGACCCCCCTTGAATTGGTTGCAAAAATTTCGTTATTCTTTTGTTATGAAGAATTTCAAATTCCGTTAGTTAATAATTAATTTTATTATTCGTATACATATATATGATCTTGTATATATATATATTTAGTATTTACTTGATGTAAATAATTTTTATTAATTTTTTTCTCGTGGAAAAAAATTCTTTACAACTTTCGTTTGTTAAAGAATCTGAAGAAAATAGGATGTAGAAATTTTCTAAACTAAATGAAATGGATTTGGATTTATTTGTTTGTACTGAAAGTAAATATTTAAAAATTTACTTGCGAAATGATATAAATAATGGATATTTATTGTTAAAAAATTTTTTGTTTTTCAGCCTTATTCTGGATATTCGCTGGGAGATATCTCGCATATAAAAAATTTTTCGCTTTCACATTCTCGCCTTATTCTGAATGAATAGGGAGACGCAAAAAATGCGAGATGCAGATTCGAGTTTTCGAAAATGGTGGTTGAAAAAAAGATTCGTGTTGCCATATCGTAAATTAAGTTGCGCTGTGTGTGGCCATATTGTAATTTAAGTTGCAATGTGTGTTGCCCCATTGTAATTTAATTGTGTAATATTTTTCAATATATTATTTATTGATTTTTGTTATTAAAAATTGTTCCTTTTTATTGTTATTTAAACTTTATAGCAATACAAATGTGAAATATCAAGAATCCGCTGTATAAATGCTTTGTAATTAAAAGAAAATAAATTAAAGTTTGAAAATATGGCAACCTACAATATGGCATGTGAAACAGCTGTTCATTGTTTTGATGCAATTTGTTGCAACAACTACAATAGATTACAAATAAATGAACATTTTTTTATGATGGCAAAAACACAACGAATAATAGGAAGAAATCTGCGATTTAATTAATTAATTCACAGTTTATTATTTCACTACATAATTGTGTGCCTTTTTATTTAATTTTGATATTTTATCTCCCCAAATTCTTAAAGTGGTCAGTTATGTTATGATTTGCTGCTACTCCTTTATTTGTTCCTTCAAATCATGCACACGATAATTTTGAAAAAAAAAATATTTTTTGTTCTTTCATAATTTTTATATCAGTTTTTCACTCTTAAGCGGCTCATCAGGCAAATTTGGTTTTTCCATAATTTTTAAAATGTTTTTCTTGAGAGACAGATCCTCACACAAATGTCTGTATTTCGCCTCCAAAATGCACCAAACTCGACTTAAATATTCCTTATTACCTTCATACATTCTTTGGCAGCATGCATCGTTATCAATAGGATTTCCAATGGCATTTTATTGGCTGTTTTCCAGTTAAAAATTTGCTTACTATCATTTATAATATTCTAAATCGTCATAGAATAAGTATTGTGTAAATATTTTTCATAAAAATAGTTAGTACTTATGTTTTTGTAGTCAACTCCCCTTAAATTTATTAGCGAAAAATTTCACACAAAATTTCATCTCATCTGTAATTCAGAATACCTAATTTTTCGCCAAAGCGGATTTTTTCGCTTTCGAACTTCATTCAGAATAAGGCGAAAGCGAGAATGCGAAAAAATTCACTGGAAAATGTTGTTCGGGATAAGGCGAAGGGAAAGAGCGAGTAAATTCACATGGAATTGACATCTAGAATAAGGCTGTTTAAGTTTTTTTTTTATTAGAGAGCTGTGTGGAGCCTAAAGACGAGCTAAAGGGAAGAGAGTCGCTCACAGAGAAGCTGAAGAAGGGAGCCTTTTTTAGAATAAGTGAAGGCACAAAGCATTTCTTAGACGAGCTGAATACAGGGAATCTTTCATAGGCGAACTGAAGGAAAGAAATTTTTAAAGACATTTTTTCAAGACGTGAATTTTTTTAAATGTATTTTTTAAGGTGTGGAATTTGGTAATTATCATTTTCTATAGAGTGGAATTTTGTAATAAATTTTTTTTAGGCGTGGAATTTTTCAAAAATAAGTTTTTAAAATTATTTTTTTTTTTAAGGCGTGGAATTTTTATAGTCAATTTTTTCAAGGCTTGGCATTTTTATAGTCAATTTTTTCAAGGCTTGGCATTTTTATAGTCAATTTTTTCAAGGCTTGGAATTTTTATAATCCACGTTTTTCAAGGCGTGGAATTTTTATAATCCAATTTTTCAAGGCGTGGAATTTTTATAATCAAATTTTTTTCAAGGCGTGGAATTTTTATAATCAATTTTTTTTAAGGCGTGGAATTTTTATAATCAAATTTTTTTTTCCAGGCGTGGAATTTTTATAATCATTTTTTTTAAGAATATTAAAAAAATTATTATATTTTTTTATAAAAATTATAAAAATAGGTTTTTAAAATATTTAAAAATACAGATTGAAATTATTGCTTATTATTGTCCTCAATTCTCAAAATACATATTTCAAGGCGTGGAATTTTTATAATTAATTTTTTCAAGGCGTGGAATTTTTATAATCAATTTTTTCAAGGCTTGGAGTTTTTATAATCAATTTTTTCAAAACGTGGAATTTCTATACTCCATTTTTTCAAGGCGTGGAATTTTTATAATCAATTTTTCAAGGCGTGGAATTTTTATATCAATTTTTTAAAGGCGTGGAATTTTTATAATCAATTTTTTCAAGGCGTGGAATTTTTATAATCAATTTTTTCAAGGCGTGGAATTTTTATAATCAATTTTTTCAAGTCGTGGAATTTTTATAATCAATTTTTTCAAGTCGTGGAATTTTTTTTATCAATTTTTTTAAAGCGTGAAATTTTTATAATCAATATTTTCAAGGCGTGACATTTCTATAATCAATTTTTTCAAGGCGTGGAATTTTTTTTAATCAATTTTTTCAAAGCGTGGAATTTTTATAATCAATATTTTCAAGGCGTGACATTTTTATAATAAATTTTTTCAAGGCGTGGACTTTTTATAATCAATTTTTTCGAGGCTTGGTATTTTTATAATCAATTTTTTCAAGGCGTGGAATTTTTTTTAATCAATTTTTTCAAAGCGTGGAATTTTTATAATCAATATTTTCAAGGCGTGACATTTTTATAATAAATTTTTTCAAGGCGTGGACTTTTTATAATCAATTTTTTCGAGGCTTGGAATTTTTATAATCAAATTTTTTTCAAGGCGTGAATTTTTTATAATCAAATTTTTTCCAAGGCTTGGAATTTTTATAATCAAATTTTTTTCAAGGCGTGGAATTTTTATAATCAAATTTTTTCCAAGGCGTGGAATTTTTATAATCAATTTTTTCAAGGCGTGAAATTGTTATAATCCATTTTTTTCAAGGCGTGGAATTTTTATAATCACTTTTTTTCAAAGCGTGGAATTTTTATAATCACTTTTTTCAAAGCGTGGAATTTTTATAATTTTTATTTCATCAAATATTTGGAATTTGTATAATTAATTATTTTCAAGGCGTGGAATTTTTATAAACAATTTTTTCAATGCGTGGAATTTTTATAATCGTTTTTTAAGGCGTGGAATTTGTATAATCAATTTTTTCAAGGCTTGGAATTTTTATACTCAATTTATTTAAGGCGTGGAATTTGTATAATCAATTTATTCAAGTCGTGGAATTTTTATAATAAATCATCATTTCTTTAAAATTTTAAAAATATATGAAGACATTAATACATACCTCAAATATACATACCTTCCTCCGTTGCTGGAATTTCATGATTTGCGCCATTGTTTGTTACCAATTATTTTATGTCAATATTGAAAACAAAATTACCCCACAAACTTTACTTCCGTTTTTTGTGTTATCAGAACAAACATAGGAATGCTCTTCCTCCGATTAGCTATTATTACCCTTCCAGTTTTTTCTTTATTGTTGACTGTGCAAATATTTACACAAAATTTTGGAATATTGTTATTGAATCGGCTTTTTTTTTCTTTTAATTAACTACAACTTTATAAATAATAGAGATAAGATTACAAAAGGAAAGGCTTATTTGTTTAAAGATCGTGCCTCCCAAAACAAAAAATTGCTATGCATTCTATAAACTTTACAGCATCTAATCGATTCAGTTTTAAAACTTGCGTAGTGCATTAAAGACGTGTGTGCGTGCAATTGTAGACATTTTTTGAATAAAAAAATATAATTTTTGTTGTGTATTTTGAATGAAACTCCTTTACATTGGGGATATTAATCCTTGAAAGGTAGGTGATTTCCTTTTTTTACATTTTTATTTCATCAAATATTTGTATTTTTATTAATTAGGCAGTTTAAATAGATTTTTGAAAATACGTATTTTTAAATTTTGTGTATACATAAACCTTTTTTGTTTTAAAGATTTCATTTCAAAATATATAGCTAATTTTGTGGATTTTTTTAATACATAGAACCATAATTTTTGCTCTGAGTTTTAAAATATTTTTTTAATAATTGTTTTTTTACTGTTCCATTGGAAATGGATGCTGCGATTGCATACGTTCCAATTGATCCGAAAGTGTCTTTTGTTCGGCTGTTAAACGATAAATTTCCTGTTGCTCTTCCGGTGATAGTGGCTTACGTTTTGCCTTTGTCTGTAGTGTCCTTTTATAGGTCTCCAATATTTCCTGATCAATGGCATCGAGTTTTCGCTTAACTTCTAAGCGTTTTATTTCCTCACTCGCTGCCTCGTGCAGACGTTTTAAGGCATTACTATTGTATTCGGCAATGGCCGATAGCTCTGCAACTAAACGTTTTATTTCAGCATGTATTTCATCTTCGTCATTATTGGGAAAATCTGAGATATCCAAGATACCCTGTTCGATAAGCTCTTTCTTGACCCGTTTCTCGATGCCAATGCAATTCCTTAACATTGACAGCGAACGGAAACTCATTGCTGCCGAAGAGTGGGTATTTTCACTACTGCTATTACTATTGTCGGCCACAACATCGGCTGGATTTGTGATCAATTGTTCTTCCATTAGGGCGGAGACCAAACGTTGTGTCAATGGCCCCGTCACACATTCATCCACAATGGAATCGGCCTTCTTGAGCATATTGTTAACACCACCATTATTTTGAGGCTTCAAACGATTATTGGTATTGGGATTTGACCCCTGTTGAATTTCCTTCATATCCTCTGCAGCCCATATGGTAGAGTAGTGGGGTCCCAGTTCAGGTATTGGTGGCACCAGTGGACCATTATACTGCTCCATTAAATCATCCAACAAACGTAAATCCTCATTTGTCAGCGGCATACAATATGGCTCAACGGAAAGCCAAAATTTATTGGGGGTATCTATTTTGGCAGGTATTGGTTTTTGTACATCCCGACTGGTGGCGCCACCATGCACCCCTGGCGCACAATCCATACTATCGTCTGTCTGCTGGGCCGCCAATGGACTATTTTTATTGTGTAAATTTTTAGCATGTTTCAGTGTGGTGTGTTTTGGTTTGCGCACCAACGATGTTTCATCTCGTTTACGTTTCCCACTGCTGGTCATGGCCGTAGCCGGCGAAGTGGGTTGTTTCTCACCCGCCTGTGCCCCCAACAGCTGCAGTGAATGTTTACTTTTCTTATCTTTATTTTTATCATCTTTGTCGAGATTTTCATATTCCAATTTCAGTACCCGATAACGTAGTGCCACACTGGAGAGTAATTTTTCCAATTCCAATTGTATGTTATCCAAATCCTCGGCCGCCAAATAATCTTCGGCGGGTTTAGCTAAGGCCGCCGAGTAGATTGGCAATTGTTTGGGACAATCCTTGGTTTTTATCATGGGTATTACCAGGCCCGAGGAACTTTCTGTGTCTGGGGATACCGGAGGGTTTGTCTGCTGTTGTCCCATTGGCAATTTCATACTCTTCATGCTTTTGGCCATGGTTGTGGCGGCTGTGTTTTCAACGAGTTTTGAACTCGATGAAAGTCTGCAAAACAAAATACAACAAAAACAATATAAACAAAAGGCTGAACTAAAGCTGTGTCCCCAATTAAATCGAACCACCTTTAGAATCCGTTATTTGAGCACAAAATTAATATTAAATAACAAAAATACAAATAACGTAATGCAAATATACGTACAATTATTTTTTTTTCTATTCTTGTCAAGCAGCAGCTGAAGAAATACTGAATCACATCCGCAATTTATTAATGTAAACAAATTAGTGGTGGCAAGCAATCGATAGTGTTATCGATAATACTTTTGACAACAACAGTCTAGTGTCAGTTGAGTGGCTTTCAGGGATGGAACGATTTGAACGTTGCTCTTTGGTATGTGGCCTTACACACAAAAATAGAATATAAAACAGGGTGATTCAGATAAAATATTATTTTTGTGTAATAACGGCCTGTAGTTAATCAGTCGCATGATCAACATCTACTTTACTATAATATTAATCAAATACATCCCATGAGCTAGCTTCTAATGAAGCATACAATGAATATTAATTTGAATTATCTTTCAGAAGAAACCTAATTTCAGATAAGCACTTTAGTTTTGTACGGAAAGGCAAGGATCTCTTAGAATATTAGGGGCCTCCAGGGCACACCATGACATTAAGTATTTTGTGGTTCGTTCTAAAATTTGGATATCGCGATAACAGCTACATTCGCTCTATATATACCTGTTAATCGAATATCTGAAATATTATCTAATTTCTCAGCAGTGGTCATAGATAATCAGAGAACAATACGCAGGTTGTTGACTGATTAGTCGGAATGTAGGGAGGTGACCTTGCTTGGTCTGGCGGGAGGTGGCCTTGTTTCTAAACTGCTTACTTAGACCATAGTATCATCTGTTGGTCATCACAATCCTTCTGCTGACCTTGTGCCAATTGAAGTTATCCTGCATAGGCGTATTAATTTTGCACGAATGCCGAACGTAGACATGGCTTTAAAAACCTCTGAACGGATAGGGCTGTCGAATGCGACATTATAGTCGACGAATAGGTGGTATGTGTCGATGTGTTTTTCGTGAGTCTTTTCCAGGATTTGGCGCAGAGTGAAAATCTGGTCAATGGTGGATTTGCCAGGTCTGAAGCCGCATTGGTATGGTCCAATAATGTCATTGACCATTGGCTTCAATCGTTAACACAGCACACTGAATAGCACTTTATATACGATGGGAAGAAGACTAATTCCTCTATAGTTGGCACATATCGTCTTGTCTCCTTTTTTGTGAAGGGGACACAGGATGCTGAGGTTCTAATCATTGGGCATGAATTCCTATAGCCAAATTGTACTAATAAGCTGGTGCATGCTCCTTACCAGCATCTAACCACCAGTCTTAAACAGTTCGGCTGGGAAACCGTCAGCTCCTGCTGCTTTATTGTTCTTGAGCCGATTAATTGCCTTTATGACTTTGGCTAGGTGGTATACACTCTATACCATCATATCTTATTGGTTCTGGGGCATATTCTTCACCGTCACTATTTGATACCAGAAGCTTTTCAAAATGTTCCTTCCAGCTCTTCAACACGCTATCTGTATCAGTCACCTGGTTTCCTTCTTCACCTCTGAAGGAGGACGCGCCTTTCCCAAAACCTTCAGTTTGGTGTTTTACTCGTTGATAAAATTTCCGGACATCATTCTGACTCCTGTAAATCTCGATTTGCTCACGCTCACGTTTTTCTTGTTCTTTCTTCTTTTTTCTGAAAACACGTTTCTCCTCTCTCCTTTTTCCCGATAATTCTCCATCACATTACGTGTTGCTACTGTCTGCTGCGTTTTTCACATCAGTAGCATTACAAGTGTTGCTTTTGCTGCAGTATGTAGTTAGTGGGCAATTCTTTGCCATTGTGCTTCTATATTATTATCAGGACAAGGGGTGCTTTCGTCAAGCAGGTGGGTAAGTTGAGCGGAGTAGGCCTCGGCTACCTGTTGTGTTTGTAGCTTTTGGACGTCGAATTTCCGTGTTGTGCTAGTAGTGGGCCGAATCGATATTTGCTCCTCGGATCGATCGAACGTCTACTACACCGGATGAATGCCTTCCGTCTATCACATCATGATCAATTTGATTTCTCGTTGCTTGATCAGGAGAAATCCTCGTGATCTCCCTGATCACGAAAGTATATTAATTTCATGGGGAAGTCCATAATTCCCGAAATATGGACCTCTAAAGTTCCGAAATTCCTATGCTCATAACTTCGTTATTTATGAATCGGTGAAGGTAATATTGGTATGATTGTAAAGCGTACACATTATATTTCCACTTAAATTCATTTTAATTAAAAACTGCAAAAATAGTCGGCCTTCGGTCGGGGATTTAAGACTTTCTCCTATGGACAGGCGGAAAAATTGGCCACGCGTTTAAAATTTCCTTTATATCAAAGTTTTTCTTATATAGCCGGCTTTCGGCCAGGGATTTAATACTTTCTCCTATGGACAGATAGAAAATTCGGCTATGCGATCGAAATTTTCTTTTAAATAAACAGGTTTCTCTAAATAACCGTCAATATTACGATTATCGGCCCATAAATGTCCAAGATATGAGCATATGAATTACGGAACTTCAGAGGTCCATATCTCGGGAAATATGGGTTTCCCCCATGAATGTCATATATTTTCGTGATCAGGGAGACGAGATCTACCTGTGCTAAAAAAAGCCCCTAAACTCAACTTAAGCCAATAAGACTGATGTAGAAGAACTTCGCAATTCGTCCATCTTCTGGAGTGAATCTGGAGACGAGGTCTTTTATTCTCCTGTTAACCATAAATCCGCAGCCAAATTTATGTCTCATTTCATGGCAGCTATAACAGGGCGTAACCATCTGATTTACTTATGCCAGTCCCTTTCCATCACATTTCCTTTAAGGCAATAATATCGGTTTTGTACTTCTTGAGTACATCATCCAAAGCGAGAACTGCGCCTGTTCTGTGCAACGTGTTGTTACGTTCTAAACCTAATGCGGCGTTATGGCGGGGTTCGCACTAGCTCAGTTGGGAACACTTTTCGATCAGGGGAGTTCTCAACCCTTGCCACCATCAACCCTAGGGAACGAACAACTAGAAATTTTTGGATCATACAAAACACAAAAACATAAACAAACACAACATACACCTATGACGAAGGAGCTTGGTTTAGTGCTCCTCCACTATGCCCGCCCATCCTTGACCCTTTAGTCCAATTGACGAAATTTTATATTTAAAAGGGCCCCAAATTCCACACACACTTACCTCACGAAAACTTACACCTAATTCCCTCTCTCACAAAGAAAACTTAACACAACATAATTTCTAATAACATAAAATCAAACATAAAAATCATTTATTGACATTTTTTTGGACCTTAATCTAACACAAAACATGAAAAATTATGTCAATTCATGAACTCCTAACTCCTTTTCTCTCAGTGTGAATCAATTCGTCGATTACCAGCACTTCACATAGGGCATGTTACACTGCCAAATTTAGGCTACCTTAGACAACTACACCTACCTAAGAGAGCTCTGTTAGTGGTGACGTAGGCGGTTAAATCGCATCCGCAAAATTACTAAATTCTTGCTCCACGTAGAAATGTGGTAATCTAGCTCACCAGTAATTAAAAGGGGTTAAAAATCCTCACAAAATATAAATCATTTAAATTCTTAATTTTAAACTAACTACTAACATTCACAACTTATTACTAACATATATTCTTGTTTAATTATATTTTTTGTCTTTTTTATAGTTTTTGTGTCTTTTTTTGTAAAAATTGATTTTAACGTTTTCTCTCTTTTAAATCATTTTTAGGTTTTTCATTCGCATAGGGGAACTGGCAATTTTATTATTCCAGCATTGGCTTGAATTGGTATGTATTCTATTGATATTCTTTTACCTGGTTTCCAACGATTTAATATATATTTCTCTGGTTTCTTTATTTTAGGTGTTTATTACCAGCGACAGAGCGAATCATCAAGGATCACCAGGTTTTTTCTTCCCTTCCATACGGACTTCAATGGGGATTCTTAGCTGGATTTATGAAAAAGTATCCAGGACTCTTTTATGGCTGTTTCCAGCTTATCTTCAAAACGCCTTCAAAATATTCTTCAAAATTTTATCTGACCTCCTCCTCGCAGATATTTGGGAGGGGTCAGTTTCTTCGTGGTTTGGAGTTTTCTTGATGGCGTTAAACTTTAATAAGACAAATAAAAACAGGACATTATAGCGACAAAAAAACACACACATTGAGCAACATTCTTACATTTTTGAATACGCACAACATATGTTTGTCACACAACACCACACTAAACGTTGAAGAAAAAAATATAATTTTTTTTTATTTCCAATTAGTTTTTTTTTGTTGATATTGTTTTTTTATTTTTGGGAAAAATCCAATTGGATTTTAAGTGGACACAAATAACTATGGCGATTTTTCTTTCATTCGCTCCTTTTATATGGCCGAAACCCAAGCATGATTTTCCCTCCTTTTCATTTTTCGCACAATTTTCCGACATTTATTTATGTCTGTTTTATGCTACCTCCAAACCTATTACGCTCACGCAGTGTTGCATTTCATGCACGTTACGTGACCGCATCCACTAACTACAATTCATGATTCATTTCATTATTCCATCTTAGCAACACTGTTTATATGCAGCCAACTTCATAGCCTACCGCATCCGGCTTATTTCTCCTAGACCGGCAGCCACGAAACACATCGATAAGAAAATTGCTGCCGGTTTTTTTATTAAATAAAAAAAATAATGCAGCCACATGCAACAAAACTTCGCCATATCCATTGATTTCAATGGATATGGTGATGTGCATGGCTTCTGCAATAAAGGGACTACCCAATAAAAGACTACCTATAGGATGGTCATAAAAGTGGATGGCTGACCAACCAGCCCTCAAGTTCCTGGTGGACACGAGGTTCAATGGGAGTGTTAAGTGGAGGCATTGCAGCGCAATACAGGTAAGCACACATCATAATTAACCAAAAAACAACGAATATTAATTCTGCATTTATTTTTTTCAGGTAAAACGCAAAATGTGTGAATGGAAAATTTTCATTATGGGGTATGTGTGTTTGCGGGTACGCAAAAACTAGCGGTGACCATGTATATATGTACGTGTGTGTGTATTTGCACGCCAAAATTTTAGCGTCGGTCGCATACATACGTATGAATTTGTGTGTGCTAACACACACATACCTGCCATTCACACCCTTCATATTTCATTGAGATGCATATGCTGTGTACTCATTCTTGCAGTGTGTTTTTACAGAAATTGTGGCTGGTGAATTTGGTGTTGATTGGTGTATACATGTGTGTAATTGCTAC